AGGGTAAATATGGTTGGTGTATTTTCTAAATTTGTATGACTATGGAACACTGAAACCTGTCATTTTAAGAAGGAGAGTGTGGGAAGAGGGAGAATAATGGAGGGGATGAACCAAACCTGGGTACACTGTATGCATATATGGAAATGTCACAATAAAATCCCATGTACAACTATTATACATTAATAAAAATGTTTAAAAAACTAACCTAAAATGATGCCTAGCGTGTTTAGCAAATTTTAAACTACATTTCTGCTTTCTCTCGTTCTCCGCTAATATTTGATGTATTTCTAAACAAGATTTTTCAAGTATTCAAGATCCCCTATAACAAAAGGAGATAACTGCTCCATTAGAAAAACAAAAGTGTCACACAGGCATAATCTGTAAGCTTATCTGACCGCCATATATTAGCTTATACACACACACTCTATACAAATGAAGCTAAATGCACACTATTTAGCTGGCCAGCCTTGACATGACCCTCTTAGCTGTTGTAATATTATCCAACTCAATGCTCTGATGTGTTCCATCTGTGCTGTTTGGTTATTAACACACAGTGTGGACAACCACCATTGACACTGCACTGTAAAGCCTATGTTGCTACAAAACATACACCAGAGGACACAGTGCTCCCTCCAGATCCCCTCAATTCCCCTTAGCATTCTCATCCAGTGTGCTTTCACTCACAGCAGTAGTACATATCTCTGAAGCCCTGGAGAGCTGGCAGGGCCTGGGAATGTCTTTCCCAATCCCATCTCCAGCCATTAACCACAACCACCAGATAAGGAGATAAGGGAGTCCAGATAGTCTAGCTGCTGTGCTCCTAACTAGGATAACTCTGATCACAGTTGCCAAGGTTATGATGCAGGAGTGCCAAGGTGACCTTCCATGGAACTTGGCTTGATACTGCACCCTTGCTTGTTTCATTACACTTTTCTGCTCTCCTACTGTTTTTGTTGTTGTTTTAGGAACATGTTCTAAGGGATCACATTTACATAAATCACTAACTCGGGGACTGCTATGGAACCCAACTTAAGACAGTATGCTTTTCTTTTATGAAAAGTCATTCTTAAAGATCAACAGAAAGGGGACAAATATAAATATGACATGTTAAGTTGAGTTGTTTCATAAGGAATTTTTCCTAGCACATTAATGTTTTGAAAAGTGACCAGGGTCTAGTTTTCTCATAAAGAGAACATTTTAGCAGTACATAAACATATATATTATGTACATATTATATATATATTTTATACATATATATATACACACACACATATAAAGAAAAGAAAAGAAAAAAAGAGAAGAGTAGAGAAAGAAAAGAACAGAACAGAAAAGAAAAGAAAAAACCAGGTGCCAGCAGTTCACGCATATAATCCTAGCTCCTTGGGAGGCTGAGATCAGCAGGAATGCAATTCAAGGTCAGCCTGGACAAAAAAGTTTGTGACACCCCATCTCAATGGAAAACAAACTGGGTGTGGTGGTGCATGTCTGTTATCCCAGCAATGGCAGGAAGCATAAAATAGGAGGATTGTGGTCCACACTGGCCTGGGATCAAGACCCTACCTCCAGAATAACCAACATAAAAGGGCTGGAGCATGGCTCAAGTGACAGAGCAGCACATAGCCCAGTGTTCAAATCCCAGTACACACACACACACACACACACACACACACACACACCCAAAGTGAATATATCTCTAAAAGTGCAAAACATATGTGTACAAGTTTATTCACTATAGCATTATTAATAATTTTATTTTATTTATTTATTTATTTATTTATTGTTATTGTTGTACTGGGAGTATATTGTGACATTTAAAAAAGTTCTTAAAATAGTTGAATCATCCCTCCATCATTCTCCTTTATCCCTCTCCTCCCATTCCTGAAATAGTTTCAACATTTTAAAATGATGGAAATAAACTAAGTACTCCATTCATAGGAGAATGAAAAGTTAAATAAACCGTGCTATAAAAGAATGAATGATAAATAAATCACACTATATCTATACAATGGAGTACTATACAACAGTGAAAAAGAACAAGCTCTTTGAAAAGATATAGTGTGATTTCTAGGGCATACTGCTAAGTGAAAAAAGTCAAAGCCACGAAGACTATTTATATCAAGTCACACCTCTTAAATACATATAATTTTTAAAAATCAATTATACTTCAATAGAGATGGGGAATAAAAAGAAGTTAAAGTCTGATAAATTAACTGATAAATTAAAAACTCAAAATGTCATTGAGACAATGTGTTTATAAATACTTTTCCTAAAGATGATTCAAAATTAAATTTCATTCTAAAATGTTAATGAAGAAACTTTTAGATAACCAAGTACTTTGTGGATAATCACAAATTAGGAATAATTTTATGAAAGCTGGATTTGAGTACTCTAATATTTAAAATATTGGCATTTTCCTTTAGATGTTCATATATTGTAATTATACTTCACTATAGACTTTCAAAAAAAGAAAAAAAATCAAATATTTATACCACATTATCCTCATGTAAGAAAAAAGGGGATATTAGGAAATACTCATTATCTGCTCAATTGTGCAGAAGAGACATAAGAAGGATAAAGCAGAAACTTCAGAGATTAGTTAGCCATATATATGGGTGGGTAGGAAAGGTACTCAAAGGAGGAATGGGAATAGAGAAGCAGGGGACGAAGCAGGGGACTTCTTTGAGACTATCTCTTTTAAACTCTGAATCCTTGCACAACAATATTTCATATACACACCCCAAAATAAGGAGAATGTGGGACAAATCCAAAAAGAGAATATAAATACTAACAAATACCTAGGTGCATTTAAAATGGTAACATAACCATAATGACTAGGATGAAGAAGAAAAGATCTCATTTAAAGAACTTTGGAAAACAGAATTTTGACTGGACTGTAAGCCTAAAGACAAAAGGAACTGCTACAATATAGTTACTTAAAGTGTTTCTTACAAAGGTATGAGTCAACAATCCAGCAACTACTTTATGAGTACAAAAGAACAGAAGAAGTAAGAGCTGGGTTTCTCACTATTGGAGAAAGAAGTTACAACTACAGACAGGGGAAAAGCTGAGCCTTGTGGTATAGGACTGAGAACAGAGGCTTCAGTTTAAGTTAATGTTTTTTAAAACACAGACAGATAAATGCATAAATACAGATGTCTACATGTGTAGGTTGTGCACACATGCTTCCTAGTTTTGTCAGCACAGAGGACCTAGAAGCAATTGTGCACTAGTAGCACTGAGCACACCTAGCACCCAGCTCTTAGTTTGTAAACACCATTCTGCAACAAGGGTCCCAGGGATGTGTAAAGAAGTGGTGACTCCTAAGACAGGGACAAGAAAAACAAAGGTGAGCCTGGAGTATCCTGGAAAACACTAAAAATATAAGGGGAAGATTGTTGAAGAAGACAGGAGCCATTCTGAAGGAGCTGCTATTGGCCCAAATAGGAACAATTTGAACAAACTAAACAATGGTAGTACTGGATTTTAATCCATAGAATAAAGTAGGAGTCCTACTACCATTAGGGAAAAAAAAGTTGAAAAACATATGTGGGAGAAAGGACAGGTCTTCCTGTAGGACAATTCCACTTATGAAATACAGAATAGAAGAAAGAGAGATATCAACATTAGGCAAACACCACACTAAAAAATATTATAGGTAAAACCACTCAGGGACTAAATTAAACAGCAAAAGTTTGAAGAGAAATACAATTTGCATATCTGAAAATACAAACTTAAGAACTCTATCAATTTGAAACACAATTTATCAATCCTTCAAATTTACAGTGGGGAGATTTGGGAGACATCAAGCAGCCAAGGTTAGCATCACCAGTAAGACATTTTAATATCACAAAACCCTTGATATGATGTGAGGATTCAACATTATTCCTTTGTTACTTTTGCCAAATATGCATAGCTTCACTCTACTCATGAGAAAATGTAAAGCCAGCCCCAACTGAGTCTACAAAAATAACTAACCACTACTCACTGAAAGTGTCAAGGTCATGAAAGACAAGAAAAACTAAGAAACTATTATGCCGGGGGTGGGGGGGGAGGTGGGGGGGGAACCATGGAGAAACAACAACTAAACTCCTGGAACAAAGAAAGGATATGAGTGTAAAACTAGTGAAAACCAAGTAAGGTGTGTAGCTTAATATTATAGTGTCAGTATTGTACAGTTAATAGTTGCAGTTAATATTGTGCAGTTAATAATAACACTATTGTTAATAGTATTGTATCAGTATTAACCTGATGGTTTTAATAATTAATTGTACTATGATTATGTAAGGTGTTAACATAAGGAGAAGTTGGGTAAAGAATATATATGAACTCTCCACACTATTTTTTAAACTTAAGTCATCAACTAGTTCTAATAAAGTTAAAAATTTTAAAAACTGAAAATTCTACAATAGTACCTTTATTAGTATAAATGTAGCTGGTTTAGTAGCTTTAAGAACTGCACATTCATCCATGTTAAGTCATTCAAGGGAATCTAGAGGCTAGATCTACTGTGCAGTGTTACTTACATATGTAACTCTCTACATAAAAAACTGATCCTTAATTAAGAGACATACAAGTTGCTCTCCTTAGTTTGCTTTAACCCTCCACCACTAAGATAATGTAGTAACTTTGTTTTTTGAAATCATAGGTAGGAACGGACTTCACATAATAGTTTATACCTGGCTATAAACTACTAGTATAGTTTTAAAACTTACCATTTTACAGTTTTAAGATAAAGGCTTAATAGGCTTCAAGACTATGAGGTCCTGCTCCATTTTTCATGCTCAGTATAAAATAAGAAATAGGGAAGTTAGAACTTCAAAATACCATTGTTTGTTCTTCTCAATTCATTAAACATAATCTTCTACTTTTGTTTTTTTATTTATTAATTTTTTTGGTGCTGAGGATTGAACCTGGGGCCTCATGCACACTAAGCACATGCTCTATCACTGAGCCGCGCCCCTAGGCTCCAATTTTTCGGTTCTAAAAAACTATTTTCTTACTTGGAATATGCTGGAGAAACCCAATATGGGTTGTCTTCTGCTGCTTTGGCATGACGCAAAATGGCTTCTCGAGGATTACTGTCATCAGTCTTGTCCAAAGCAATGTTTTTCACAATGTAGGATGACAATGTACCCCCATGGGTTCCAACTCGGCCACCACGACCTGTTTTAAAAGTAAAAAACAAAATTGGAAGTAGAATGAGTACTGCAATACATAGTTGTACCTGTGTGTGCTGTAGTCATCGAACACAAACTTGAATCTTTAAGCTATCATGAATACTTGAATCTTTAAGCTATCATGTAATAAGAACCAAAGTAAGAAATAACCAAGTCTCAACTTCACCACAGCATTTTAAAACAGGAAGAGACTTAAAAAAAAATTATCTTACCTGCTTAATTTATAGAATGATACCAATAAGCAAAGTATTACAGTTTGCCTTAAAAAATTTTTCCAGCATGAACATTTGAAATTCAATAAATAAAAATAATCAATATTCATTAGCTATTACTTTAGCTTTAAACAAATATATGTTAGGGCTTGCATGTTCCAAGTTCCCTATAGTTACTTTGATTTGTATTATGAGAAAACAAATCAGGTGAAAACCGATTCTCATTATTTTACTGTACTATAACTGTCCTGGCAGAGAGAAAGCTCCATAAGGGCAGGGCACTGTTCCCTGCTGGATTCTTAACATGGTGCCTAGTAAGAAAAACATCTGACTTTTTAGAAAGAAAAACAGATGACAAGCCAAATAACACCAAGATTAATTTCATAAATTAAACTAAGAAGAAAGTAAAGGGAATGAGTAACTGCCAGAGAATTTGTGTGGCCAGTGACTATGATGGCACTTAGACTGAGGTGGTTAGGTGAGTCTTTTTGAGAAGACTGGATCCATTTTAGGAAGGTTCAGAAAGTAGAAAGTGCTATTTTCAATGAGCATGTGAGTTAACTACAAAAATGTGGAACAATGGGTATTGGAATAGGAGTGAACCAGTAGTCACATCAGAAGATCAGAATAGGAAAGAAGTGAGGTATAAAACCACAAAGGAGGGTTCCAGTCAGACTGTAGAGGAATTTGACTCTGGAAATACAAGTGTAGAGTGGGAAGCACATGGAGGTTTGAGGGAAGTAACACTATGAACGCTTGAGGAGTTGAGGATAAAAGCTGTAAGATGAATGGAAGTTGGGTGAGAACAAGGAGTGACTTGATATATGGTACCTAGAAGGATTTGCAATGATCCAGGCAAGAATATTATTTAGAAACTTTGGTAGCAGAGAAAGTTAAAAAAAAAAAAAGGGCTACATATGCAAATGTCTTTAAGACTTGAGGAGAAAACAGAAGCAAGTCCAGGGCTCAGGCTCAGATGAATGAACAAGTCAAAAGCTATAGGTTTGGGAGCCTAAGACAAATGGCAAGTACACAGATGATAACAGAAATAGGATTCCAGTAATAGTGTGTGCTGTATTACAGACAATGCTGCCTTGCTTCCTTCTGATAACTACATTCTTTTTTTTATTGTTTTATTATTCATATGTGCATACAAGGCTTGGGTCATTTCTCCCCCATGTCCCCACCCCCTCCCTTACCACCCACTCCACTCCCTCCTTCTCCCCCCACCCCCTCAATACCCAGCAGAAACTATTTTGCCCTTATCTCTAATTTTGTTGAAGAGAGAATATAAGCAATAATAGGAAGGAACAAGTGTTTTTGCTGGTTGAGATAAGGGTAGCTATACAAGGAGTTGACTCACATTAATTTCCTGTGCGTGTGTGTTACCTTCTAGGTTAATTCTTTTTAATCTAACCTTTTCTGTAGTTCCTAGTCCCCTTTTCCTATTGGCCTCAGTTGCTTTTAAGGCTGATACCTATATTCTTAAAAACTCTTATATGCATCATCTAGGGATACTTACTGGCAGCTCCATTTTATTGACATGGAGTTAAATCATGGCCACTTTCTGCTTTGTGTGAAATGTAATCTAGTCTGGATCCTGGTCAAAGTGCCCAGTGTTATATATGACTCCAATACTGAGAGCAATGGTTTTAACACTGGTTCCAAGGAGCCCCAGAAGAGCTCATGGTGTAGCTCAAGTGGTAGAGTGCTTGCTTAGCAATGGCAGTCCCCTGAATTCAATTCTCAATACCACAAAAATAAAACAACTCCAAGGAGCCCCAGAATTCCACTAAGGTCACCTAAGGGCTCAAGTGCAATTCTGTATCAGATCTATTAGAAAAACATTCTGGTGCTAAAACCAAAATATTTGAAAAATACTTTGAAGTAAAATCTCTCTGAAGATAAGAAGCACCTAGGCCAAAGATCTTCCCACTTCTATATTAATTACCCCACCCTACCCCTCTACTCTCTTTCAGGTCACTAGCTGGATCACAGTCACCTGGGCCTGCTACAGGAGGTTCAGGTTTGTGTGACTTCAGGGGATCCAGTCTGTCCTTCTCCAGTTGTTTCCTTGTACTCCGTTGACGAGGCTCACGGAACATAGGCAATGCATGAGCTGTAAGAAGTCACATTTGAAGATTTTCATTATAATAATAACCCTCCATCCAAAAACATAGCTAAAGCATGACTAACAAAACATGAAATGGAAGTCATAATGATAGCCTCATAATGACAGTCTCACTGTAACCAATTAGCCAGCTTTGTTTGATTCTAGACTCATTGTTCACCTCTCCTGGCAGCTAATGACACTCAGGAAACACTGTCAAAGAAACATTGGTAAGGCTCCACATCTCCCAAACCATGCTAGTAGTTAAAACTTAATTTTGATGGGTTTGAAAAGAAACACTTAATGGAACTACCTCTTATTTTTTCTTATAGGACCCAAATGTGAATAATGCCAACAGCTTGCCCATCAGTCCTGAAGTTTTCTCAGGTGCCTCATAAATACTGGAATCACTTCACACGTTTCTGAAATGTGACCACCTCTCAGGAGTAGTTGACAACACTGAGTAACCGGAAGGGAGGAGCACTTATCCCACTGAAACTGGGATAAAGGTTGCCAGGAATGCAGAGGTGCCTGGATCTCCTGGCATGGGGCTGGATGCACCTTTGATATGGTGCACAAAATAAGAAGATAAAAATCAGTCATACTTGTTTAATTACTGTTGAATGTTTATTCAACATTAAAATTAAAATTCAGAATATAGGAGAGTATAAGAATTTCAAAAGGGAAACAGTATAATAATCTGGAGGAGAAGGTTATCAGGGAAGTATCTTTTACTTACCTTAAAAAAGTACTGGAATAATTTCTTTCAACCCTTACAGGCAGACTAAAACCTGTTTCAAAGAAAAACCTTTTCCAGGGAACCAGGAGAAGGAAGGTAAGGGTTTAAAGGGAATTTGTAATATGAATGAAGTGTTTTTAACACTTCAGAAACTTTTCCAGGATTCCCTCCTGTCCTATGCCCCTCTTGTTGACTGTATCACTCAAAGTAAAACATGCCTGCCTTGAGTCAGGGGAGCTGAAAACACAACTGCCTATCGCTGTGTCAGGCAACGCGACACACACAGTATTTTTAGGAGGGGGAAAATAGTGTTTCACTTCAAACGACTAGAGGAATTTAAGTAGGCCGCGTGTAATTACATGAGCTAGACTGGTTATGACACCGAATTTAGCACTTCTACTCTTGCAAAAAGTGTCATGGGATCTCTTGACTGATCATAAGCTCCCAGGGACTTGATCTTACATGAGATCCACCACCAGGGAGAAATCCAGCAGTATAGCGCCCCCTGGGCTTTAGACTAAGACACTGATAAAAGTCCACAGGGCTATCCGCTACTAACAGTCACTCTCATCCAAGATTTCCTTCCTGGTCATCACTTGTTACAGGTCTGAGGCTGTGGCTCTGGGAACACAGATTAATGAGGCTGTATGGCAGACCTGAGAGAAGTCACTGTGCCCTGGTAAGCTTTCTGCTCACACCCCAGGTAGTTAATTATATATATAAATGCCTCCAGATCAGTCTAAAACACGGTCATAGATTTCTGAGGGAACTGGAGGAGACCCTTCATTTAAACTCCTCACTCACCTGATGAATTTCAGTTGTTCAATATCCCACTGAAAGTCCATGGGACAAACCCAGACTTCATGATTCCAAGACTAGTACTCTTTCTTTTTTATTAGGAAAACAGAATAATAGTCTGGAGACTTCTATGGAGCAATGCATATGGCTCACATGGGCCCTTCTGGTTTGAGTTGAAAGTTACATGTAACAACCTATTCCCTGTGATGAGTCACAGAAGCTTAAGGGGTCAGCTGTCACGTAACTCGTACTCCTGTCTACCTGATGAAAATTTCTGTAATATATACCTCAACTCTGAAGGCTTTTCTGTCTTTAAAACCAAGCAAGCAACACCACGGCAGAGAATACAGACCGTAAGACTGAGAGGCATGCTAACAACTTACGAGTGATGATGTAGTCCTGGGTTAGAGTCTCGGCTTGTTTTGCCTTCCGCTGGGTTTTAACCACACATAATTTTGCTCCCCTAATGAAAGGTAAAAAAAATTATTTTCTTCAGTTCATCGTAGGAATAGAAAATCTACATCAAAAGCATCAGATACTTTTAGGAACATACTGTGCATACACCATCTTGCATCTTGTCAAGATCTTAACTTTCTGAGCAATGACAACAGATGGGAGGTCTTGGTAATAAAGTATTACTAAACTTAAAGAAATGTAAGTCTGTCAGTCAATGGTCACTACCAAGCAAAAGCGTTTGAGAGATTTTAGGACACAAGTTTAAAAAAAATTAAACAACTAACCCAGTCCACTCTCTCTCCCTCTACAAAAAAAAAAAAAATAACTAAAAACTTTAAAGATGTAAAAGAAATAATAACAAAATTTAACCAGCCTTTTCACTTAAAAGTCATAGGGTTCAAATTTTAGTTTATGTCTTAGATGAAAGTAACCTGTGGTATATCCACAGCTTAAATACAAGAGTGCAAGTGTCTGGAATGGAGTGGAATGGAGTGTTCTCAAGGGGCTATAGCCGAGAATGTGTGGTACTAACCATAAGTATGCTTAGAACATTTTAATTCTCCTTAGCAAATGCTGAGCTACCTATTTCAGAAGAAGCAAATATAAATAAGCAAATTTCTTACAGATTCCAAGTAAAGATAGCACCCTTCTAAAGGGGGGCTTATCAAAGAAGGTTCATAATTTTCTTTAGTGAAACAGACTTCCTTTCATGCTAATTCATAAGCATTTTAAATTTCTTTGTTAAAAAAACAAACAGAATCCAATTTATTCTTAAAAAAAAAAAACCCATAATACATAACCTTATTTTATAGGGAGGGGTTTCAACCCTATTTAGTCCAAAAGGGTCTGAAGGAAGACAGTGATGTCTGCTTCTATTTAGAGCAAAATTGTGGTCAGTGAATATTCATTAACAGAGGATGGTTTTCCTTTCCTCAGAAAGGATGAGACCTCAAAACAGGTATAGAGGGAACCCCCACTGAATTTAGCATGTGAACTTTAAGTATACCTTAAGAGAGAGAAACAAGATCATCCTTTCTGAGGTTGTGACACATCTGCCCTTGTGCCAAGGAAAATGGAAATAACTGAGGAACTAAGTCTCTCATGAACTTTCCAGACCATGGGAATAATTGATATGCTTTCATTTGATATTTGGTGGGCATGTGCTATCCCTTTCTGCTGGCAGAGCTAATCTTGCCAAGTATCCAAATCAGTAACTGCTCAAAGCCAAAAAGAAAGGTACCAAAATGAACAAGAACAAGAGTTTTCATTTCCTGTAAGTGGTTGGTTCTCTGCTTTGTTAATCCCTCACATGTATCACTGCTAATGCCACTGTCCAGGGTGGTATGCAAAATGAGCAAGACTTTTTCCCCCCTTGCACTCAACATTTCAACTAAAGAACTGCAAATCCCCAGGAAACTTTCACTTTGAATTCAGTATAGATCAAGGGTGATATCTAAATCCTCTTTAAAGCACAATACCAGGAGTTTGCGGCTTTACTCTGTGCCAGCTGCATTTTCTAAAAGGGTGGATCCCCATCAAAGGGGAAAATAAATAAAAGCAGGGGCGAAACAAAGCCCTCCCCCCAGTTGTTGTCATCCATCTAAAACAGGCAATACTTATGAAATACCTCTGACTCTTGTTGGGGTCATAATAGACTTTTGCTAATCCATTTCCAGTTCCAACCATGATCTGGTTCAGCTTTGGATGCCACAGGCAGCGAACTACACTCTGAAAAGTAAAGGAATGCAAGTTAACTAAACAGGCCAAATAAAAATGAGAAATAAATCCTGTTGGTACTTTATGACAAGTTTACTAAATCAAATATCATCCAAATAGTAACATGTAACTTTTCAGACATTTTCTTCTAAATCGTAAGGTTATATTCTTGAGATTGAGTTCCATTCCACCACTTACTATCCATGCGAAACTCTAAAAATAAAAAAGATGTTTCCTTTGACATGAGCCCCTAATCCTGACAGCCTTGAATTTACAAAATTAGGTGGTCCAGCTCCATTACTATGTGAGGTTGGCATTGTGGCATGCTGAATTCATATAATGCAGTCGTGCTTACCACCAAAGCAGATTTAGATTTTAATGCTTCATGCTTTTACACACATACAATATGTCCCTCTGGGCTGCAGATTGAGGCCAGATGGTTATTGTTTTAGTTCACAAAGATCCAAGTCTCATTAAGCTTTCTCAGAAAGAATACATTTTGATAGGCAGTTAATCATATCTTCCTATCTATGAGATAAAAAGGCAAGGCAATGGCAGAAGTGAAGCAAAAAAACAATATAGAAACTTGATATTAACCTGAATGAAAAGCTGTTTAAGAGAAAGTCTATTAGAAGCTATGATCCTCTGCATTCATCTCCGGTGAAGTGATGTTCTTGGGTTATAAAGAACCCCAAGCTCTGAGTTCTAAAAACTTGCTTTTAATTTTTTGTCTGCAGTAAGAGGACAGAGGTGGGAAGGATATCATGAACAGAATTAAAATGAAACATAATAAAGCAAACTGTAGTAGGCAGATATACCCTGCACTAGGCTGTACAAAACTCACTCTGATAGAGCAAGAAATAAGTTTATTAATAACTGGTAACTTGCCAAGCTATGTATGAGGATTAAAGGGGGAAAGGAGTACAATTAGATGTTCCCATTTTATAGTTCTAATAGTGAAATGAAAATAATGGAATTTCTGTCTTCTAAATCTACCTTGGGCTGATCTTCTTTGTCTTTAACTATGTCAACCTTTCATTATAGACTATCTGGGAATCTCAGATCTCTTTTGATAGAACTTCTGACTTTCATCTGACTGGCAAAAATGTTGTAAGTTAAATAGATACAAATCCTTCTCTGAGTTTCCAGAAAAACTAAGGAGAAAGCTAAAAAGATCTTACAAGACTTCTAATCCATATCTGACAATACTTTGGAAGACTGGTTCATAACCTGTGCCAATTAGAGGGTTTCCATTTTCCCCATTTGTGGGGGGAGAATTAAGTTGAAAGGGCAGGTTTTTGTAATTTTAGGTTTTCTTTCCACAATTTTCCTTAAATCGATGGTGCCTGACACCCAATAACTGCTAGCAAGTGCTAAAAGATAATAAAACACACAGTAGTGAGTAACTACTAACAGAAAAAAAACTTGAAAATAATGAATTACACTTAATTTGACAGGTTTTTTTTTTGATTGCTGCTACTTTGTGCATATGTTCATGGAACTTACTTTATGATGCATATGTATCAAAAACAATTTTTCTCCTAATAAAACTGCTCCTGGTTGATAAGATGAATTAAGTATAACAATGGTTTATGGTCTGTAATGTGAAGCTTGACTTCCAGGTGCTTTGCCACTGAAATTAATTTTGAGAACCATGCCTAGACCACCGGAAATTTTCTGATGGTCATAGCCAGGTATATGGAAACATGAGGAGAGTCACAGACATAACTTTCTAACGTCATGCTTGTGTAACCCTATCTAGAATAAGTTCAGCTGAGCTAAGACTCATCTCTTTCAGTCTTTACTTAAATGTCATCACTACTTAGACCACCCTATTTTAAACTGTGCCCCTCAACTTTTCTTACTCTGTATTTCTTTTGTTCTTTTTTTTATAGCATATAACACCTTTTAACATAATCTGTAATTTGTTTATTCATTATGCTTATTGTCTGGCTCCCATGCTAGAATTTATGTTCCATGGCAAGACTTCTGAGTTAGTTTTGTTTGGCTGTGTATCCCAAGTGCCTAGGTTAGTATGTGGTACTCAGTAAATGTTGCTAAAGAAATGAATTAAAAGCTATGCCTAAGTGGATTTCTTTGGTAGGTAGAGTTTTCAAGTTAAAATCATTACTCTCCATGAGGAAAAAACTGATTTTTCCATATCATTATTACACACAGGAATCCTACAAATGCAGCTGGATTATTTTCTTCCTTATGTGGTCTTGGAGACAGGGGATATGCATGAAACAGAGAGTAAGCAAAAAATGAGAGGGGCTTTCAAGTGCCTTGGGAAACCTTAGTCACTTACAAATGGCCCCAGGACAATCTTAAGGACATGGTATTAGAGTTATTTGTCTTCCTTGGTTCTCTACAGGTCTGGCTAAACAGTCTAAGATTACTGGTTCTCAAATATGTTTTCAAGTGAGCAGGGTGCAGAATTGGAAAAGATCCACAATGTAGGCCTGATAAATTCCAAGACACCCAGCCAAATAGGCAGTTTCCAGGGGCAGCAGGTTACTGTTACTCTCTCCCTCTACGCTGCGGGTGTAAATGTTAGAGAGAGGCAACTGCTCAGGCCAACAGACCAACATCTGATTGCTTTCCAGGGAGTCCAAGGGCACTGCACCTCTATTCCTTTATCTTCCAGAGCTCCAAGACACACCACACATGACTGCTCAGCAGAAGCTCTTAGAAGAAAGCGTATTTAATCCTCTTTTCATGCCAAAGCAGGGAGAGGCAAATAAGACCCCATGAACTAAACAGTCATTCCAGAGATCTGTCCACTGTGGCAATGAGTCACTGAAGGAGCCAATGAGGGGCCTGTGAGCAGTCTAACTTAGGCAAAGGATACTTATGGTTCAATTACCCTAAGACTGGCTATTAATCAAATACTACAGGAATTCCAAAACACAGAATGAAGAAACAGAATTCAAAGTCAAAGGTGGGTGGGCCTTTTTGTTTATTAATATTTATTGTGTGTGTTTAGCTAACCTTTGTAAACTTTGCAGCTAATGCGGCTCCACACTTTGTCCTGTCAAGGAAATGCATCTTATAGCAGAGAGCTGGCCATCTGCCAAACCAAACAATCCCTGAGACAGCGGCAGGGCTGGGGAGCTAGCAGAGCTACCATGCTGCTAACTTGTCAAACATACATATTGGGCTTTGCTTAACAACAATGGACACGTGCCTGCTAGGTGCCTAAGGAACTATCAGAAGACAGATGAGCTATAAATATGTAGAGAGACTGCAATCACTTAATCAACCAAAGCAGCCCAAATTCCTTTACCCTCTTCTTGGATAGGTGCTTCCTTGGCAACACACTCAGATCTACAGATTTACTGAGCAATGCAGCAAGTGAAGAGTAGGGAGCACATTTGAATCAAAGGATCAAAGGAGAACATCAAGACATGAGAGCCACAAGCTCAAAGAAAAAACCCTTGCCTTGTATCATGAGATTCAAATGGCAGAAGGCCACTGCAGTACAAAGAACTAGATTCTGAAATTAGCATACATATTTTAATAAGCCAATTTGCTTAATTAAATTTATTAATTGTTTTATTCTTACACTAATCTACTTCATCTTACCAAAACATGTGGGTCCACTAATGCTTCCATTAGCTGCCAAAACTAAAATTCATTTTGGCACAAAATCAGTGTTATTTTTTAAAGTAAAACCCACTCTCATTTTAGCCTTAGAATTTGGCAGTGCATAGTAATCACAAACTTCCCCCAAAGTACTTAAGCTCTAACAGCAGCCACTAAGAGACAATAACCAGGATTGGAGACCATAAGTAAGATGACCAAAAGGAATTACAAGACCTTCCTCCCTGAAGAGACCAGAGGATAAAGGGTGGAGGCAGAAAGAGAGCTCTGTGTTCAACCAACAGTGTCAAAGTACCAAAACAGGAATTTTGAAATTACCCCTTGGCAAAGTGAAATGGCCAAAAAAAATCCCAAATAATTTCTTTCTTTTGTTCTTTTGGTTTACTTTAAGTGAAACCATGGAAGCAAATAAGGAAGGCTAGGCGCCAATGGCTCAGAACTGTAACCTTAGCTACTCAGGAGGCAGAGATCAGGACTGTGATTTGAAGCCAGCCCAGGCAAACAGTTTGTGAGACCCTATCTAGAAGAAACCCAATCACAAAAAAGGCCTGGTAGAGTGGCTCAAGGTATTGTCCCTGAGTTCAAATCCCATTACTGCAAAAATTAAACAAACAAACAGGAGGAATTGGGAACCAAAGAGAGAAATGGACTTATATTTTAGGACATGGTAGAAAGAGAACTATTCAGCATCTGGAGTTTTATATTTTTAATGTAGTTGAATCTTCACAACAGTACTACAAAGTTACTAATCTTATTCCATTTTAAATATGAAGAACTTCAGACTGTAGGAGGGTAACTTTCCCAAGGTTATACAGAGGTGGGACAGGTAGGCAAATTTCTCCATCTCCATTGTTCATTCCCTTATACTACTTAACCATTCAAAGCCCTATTTTGAAAGATGGGGAGGAAAGGAATGTGACACAGGTTACTCCAGAGGCACCTGCACACCCATGTTTATTGCAACGCTATTCACAATAGCCAAGTTATGGAAACAGCCAAGATGCCTCAGTATTGATGAATGAATAAAGAAAATGTGGTATTTATACACAATGGAATTCTACTCACCCATGAAGAAGAATGAAATCTTATCATTCACAAGTAAATGGATGGAACTGGAGAACTTCATTCTGAGTGAGGTTGGCCAGGCTCAGAAGACCAAAAATTGTATGTTCTTCCTCATATGCGGACTTTAGGTCAAGGGCAAATACAACGATGTGATTGGACCATGGTCACATGATAAGGCGAGAGCACACAAGGGAGGTATGAGGATAGGTAAGAAACCCAAAAAACATGATAGTATTTGATGCCCTCAATGCAAAGGAACTAATGCAGAAACTTTAAAGCGACAGAGGTCAATAGGAGAAGGGGACCAGGAACTAGAGCAAAGGTCAGTTAGAGATGAATCAACT